TTTACATAATATCCAAAATATTTTAGTAATTTTTTCAAATATTTGTGATAATAGTTGGTGAATGTGTTGACTCGTGTGGGAAGTGGTGTTCACTTAATTGGGTTCAGTTGTGGCAATCAATTCGTGACGACTAAGAGAACCGCATTCAGGGCTAGTATTCATTGCATTACTTAATGTCTAAATTGTGTGTTCATTATATTTTTGTTTATTTTATTTTCAGATGTTTATTATATTCATCCGTTTCTTTATGTTAACGCATAAATTCGTTAACATTTACACTAATAATAAATACACTTTGGACTAAAGTCACTCCAATACAGTACAGTATTATTAAAATTTAGTTTCATTTATTATATTTCGATCTTCCGATGACGATATCATTGATTTAGTGCCCAAACAGTTGAAACAAATTGGCATTAATAGTAAAAAAATAAGAGATTATCATTTGATTACTTTTACATCTATGAGACCAAACCCTTTGAAAATATCGTAAAAGTCATTAACGATAACTTTTTGCGATTAAACCGATATATTTCACATTTCAAAGTTACGTGTATTTAATCCCTAAAATTGTCTAAAAAGGGAGGGATGTAAAGTATAGTGAAATGAAAATACAAAACATTTTCTAAGAATTATATTTCTTAAGTTTTATTATAGATTTAATTAATTAAATAAATATGTGTTTCATTTGAAACTGAAACAAAAGTCAAATGGTTTTAATTTTGTTGCACTAGTTCTCTGTATTTATAAATATACACCAAATGTATGTCCAGTAGAAGTGGACATCAGTGCATACAAAGTGTATGGGAACTGGAGGTTAATGTAAGGCCTGAATGGGGTGAACCACCAGAATAGCCAGCACTCGCACCCACACAAACACACCGACAATACAATAAAAATACCAAATATTCTGTATTTAAGAACAACACAAATGCACACAAAATCATCACTTAATTTGTACACACATTGAGTGCACTATTCGTGTCACTCATTGTCATCTATTTTTATATTCAATTTATTTAATACTATTTGTATTTTATAATCAAAAGTTAAAATAAAACTTAATTTTGTTTTATAAAAATATTTCACGACTGCATTAAAAACTTTTATTCATTTAAACGCAAAAGTGTTCAAAAACTTTTTAAAACTATACATAAATCGACTCATACTTTACAAGATATTAACGTATTGTTATGAAATAATAATCATGATAAACTTTCAATTAAAATATAAACTTTTTTACTCGCATTTACGAAGTAAAAGTGTGGGTTATAAGATCACCTTGGACATTTGCTAGTTAATTGGTAATGTTTTAGTTTAATTTAAATTTTAGTTTAGTTTTACTTTATTGCTTTTTTACAAAATTACAGTACTTTAAAAATAAAATATTATTTTGTATAAAGGTTTACATTTTTGTTTCATGATTAATAATTAAAAAGTGATGATCATGATCATTGAATGTTGCACGAGTATATGGTATTCATAACTTATTTGTAGAAAAAATAATTACGTTGAAACAATTATAAGCATTGAATGAATGAATGATACTAGGTCAAAATAGTCGATAATCGTTGGGAAACATAGCGAAATAATTGCGATTGAATTGATTTTCAGCGTGAGTCCACTTTAAACTCTTAAAAACCTGGATAAGTCACAACAAGCACAAAATAAGTCCATAATACCAATTAGCATAAAACATATACAAAAGTACCTCGATCATCTTACGATACACTTGTTGTTTATCGCATACAAGCGAATCAAATTGTTTTGAGTAGAGTTTGAGTGCCCGACCGTAATGCCCGTGCAATAAGGCATGCCTTTCCGTAAACTTGTGGACCTCATAGCCGTACGGGTCGTCCACTAGTTTGCAAATATCCCGATACACGTGATCCGCATCCGAAATGGTAGGCGTAGTACCGGCAGCACCGGTATCATCAACACTGGGCACAGGTATGTCCTTATCACTAGTCACGGGAGTGTTGGTTTTATGCTCATCGATGAGATCACAGATGGCCACCCCTTTCAGCACCAGTACCTCCAAAACGGTAGACTTCTTTGTTTCCCAACTTTTGTTTGTCGGAAATAAACGTAAAATTAGTTTTTTAATTGAATTTAAAGTGAATTAATTTTTACGGACTCTTTGAGCGCCTGTCGGTTGTCATCATCCGGTTCCTCCTCTGCTCTTAGAATCACATGAGATGCCATCAAATCGTGAATTTTACACAAATCTAGCACTTTGTTAGCCAAACATATCTGTCGATACAAGTGCTGCGAGCGCCGGGAGTCCGAGTCCAGTGCCCGCATTCGCGCCAATA